TATATTTTTCTAAAAAATTAACTACACATAGATCTATGTGTTTATTTCTTAACCCTTAATTCTATTCCATTGATATACATGCCCTTATGCCCCTTCCATACTGTTGATTACAGTATCACTTGAGTAAGTTTTATTAATCATGAAACATGAGTCTTGTGACTTTTTTTTTTCTAGATTATTTTGGAATTGAGGGTCGCTTGAAACTCATTATGAATATGAGAACTGACTTTTCCAGTTTTGCACAAAAGGTCATTGAAATTTTTATAGAAATTACATTGAATCTATAGGTCACTTTAGGTAGTTTTGACAGCTTAATATTAAGTCCTCCTACCCAGGAATACATGTCTTTCCATTTATACAGGTCTTATTTTATTTTAGCAATGTTTTTTAACTTTCAGTGCACAAGTCGTAAATTTATTCCTTTAGATCAGTGGTTCTCAACCTTCTGGTCCTTTAAATACAGTTCCTCATGTTGTGACCCAACCATAAAACTATTTTCGTTGCTACTTCATAATTGTAATGTTGCTACTATTATGAATCGTAATGTAAATATCTGATATGCAAGATGGTCTTAGGCGACCCCTGTGGAAGGGTCGTTCGACTGCCAAAGGGGTCGCGACCCATAGGTTGAGAACCACTGCTTTAGATGCAATCATCTCTGGAATAATTTTCATAATTTCATTTCCAGATTGTTCATTGTTAAGTATATTGAAATCCTACTGAGTTTTGTGTGTTGGCCTTACACTCTGAATTACTGCTAACTCATTATTAGTATTAATAGCTTTCTTTTGGATCCTTTGGGATTTTCAAATACAGGATCATGTTATCATGTTGTACTTTTGAACCAACAATTTAGATGTCTTTTATTTCTTCTTATTATTTAACTAGAGGCCCGGCGCACAAAATTCATGCGCGGGTACAGTCCCTAGGCCTGGCCTGCAATCAGGGCCATCTTCCCCAGCTGCCCACAGCCAGCCCCACCCCCTGCCGCCACCCATCCCTGGTTCCCCATTCACCATCGGGTAATTATAGCCTGATGGAGGGGGAAGGGACCAGGAGGTTGGCTGTTCCCACCCACTCGCTGGCCCCGCCCTCACCAGGGTGGCCATCAGGCAATCGGGG